GTGTGTGTGTGTGTGTGTGTGTGTGTGTGTGTGTGTGTGTGTGTGTGACCATGTGTGTTAGTGAGAAAGAGAGAGGTGAAAAGAGGAGTATGTCTTTGTATTCATAGGATTTTGTCAGAAATGGTGAGTGTTGTCATAAGCCTGTGGCCTCTTGATTCTAACCTGTGGATCTTTGAAGTAGCCTGTTGGGACCCACTGCAGTGGATGTTTGTTATGAGTGTGACAGCTGGCCATGGTTTATCTAATGCACATGCATAAATGTGGAGGAGATAAGCAGGATATGAGGAGGAATTTGGTTTATAGAGTATATAGAGTTTATAGAGTATGTTGTACTACCGCTACAACAGTAATAGCTGCATTTGTTTGCGCTAGCCTACGTTGTGTTTTGTGTGTTTTTCAGCGGCTGAGGATAAAATGGGCTGGCATGGTAAACCTTTGCCCAAAGACATGGCCGACAGCGTGATCAAGGAGATGCAGAGCCGCGTCGTCAGCTGCAACAAGCGCCTGTATCCTGCTCCGCCCACTGAGGATGCCTCACCTGTCAGCCTCCGTAACGTCCGCATGCCGAGTGCACCCAGCTACAAACCTGGAGAGAAGGTGTGACAAGTGGTGACAGACGAGCTCAGATGTCTTGATTAACCTTAAAATCTCATCATTCGGGTTTTTAATTGTATGTTATATTGGCCTAAACAAATAAATGTGTCTTAACCTTTCAGATAGTACACAACATAGCTTCAGCCAAGCTTGCGTATCTTCTACTGACTAGTTGTCGGTTTGTCTATGTGTTACCAGATTGCTACAAGGAAGGCCTACGGCATGGCTCTGGCCAAGCTGGGCCGTTACAACGACCATGTGGTGGCTCTGGATGGAGACACCAAGAACTCCACCTTCTCTGAGCTCTTTAAGAACGAACACCCCAACCGCTACGTGGAGTGTTACATCGCAGAGCAGAACATGGTGAGAAAGAGACAATAGCCCTCCAGTTACATGGCTGGAGAGGTTTTAAATCATTCAGGCTATTAAAACTTCCATTCAATAAATAAAATAAGGGCATTTGGTTCTTACATTTTGACACTATGAAATACCAGGTTCATTTTATGTCGTAAGTATTAACACAAATATATTGTTTATACTGACACATCACTACTTGAGAGGTATTAATATAAACAACAGCTCTGTAGGACTGTACCTTCAACTACAGGTTAACATCAGCATGCAATGTTGATGCTAAGCAGGTTTAATGTTTTAACATGTCCTCTCTCTTAGTTTAGCATGTTAACATGCATACATTTGCCAATTACAACTAAACAATTAGTACAGCTGATGGGGATGTGATTAGCAACACTTGTGGTATAAAGACCAATTGGCCAAGTTGAAACGCTTTGGTCTCACAATAAAGTCACTTAATACTACAAGTGTTGCTGGAGTTGTGACCTCTTCAGACTTTTTAACTTTTCCATGCACATTGGAAGAAGGCGAAGCGGAGACATTTCAATAAAAACCAAAGTAAAACATCATGGTCAGCTAGACGACAACTCAGGGGATCAACAAAGTCAGCAGCGTTTAGCTTCTTAGACCACGCCAACTTCTGCCTTTTTTTCCCCCTCCTCCTTTCCACTCCTTTCTATCCCTCTCCCCTCTCCTGCAGGTGAGCGTTGCAATGGGTTGTGCCGTGAGGGACCGTAACGTGGTGTTTGCCAGCACTTTTGCTACATTCTTCACCCGGGCCTACGACCAGCTCCGCATGGCCAGCATCTCTGAGAGCAACATCAAACTCTGCGGCTCCCACTGTGGTGTCTCTATTGGTCAGTTCCTGTCTCTCTTTTCACCAATCATGACCTGAAATAATTGACCTTTGACCTTTAAAGCGGTTCATTTTTAAGTCCTTTTACTTCTTCTTTTTCCCCCAAAAACATCGTATCATAGATATACAGTTCATTTATGATAACTGACAAACAGATTTTTTAAATATAAGAATATAAAAATGTATTATATTGAATTCTTTATTTTATCAGATGTTGTTGTTGCTTTAATTTCACTACAACGTGCGTTGAACCGACCCTCAGTATGTTCCTGACCCTAAACCTTTTTTCCCCAAACTTCTCACCTCCCCTGTTATTCTGTCTTCCATCTTCCTCTCCCGGTGTCAGCACTCTTCCTCCTCTCCCTCTCACTGTCACTGTGTCATGGAGGTGATGACAGAGCGGCCTGATTCTCTTTCACCTCTTCCTCCTCCTCCTCCTCCTCCTCCTCCTCCCCTTACTCCTTCACCTCTCCAGGTACATTGCATGCGCACCTTTCCAGACTGAATGCATGCCAGTCCACCAGAATTTATTTTCCAGTCTCCGTTAAACATGAGTCTTGTTGTACCTTACTTGTCTCTTTGATGCTGAGATGTGTGTATCTTTAGGTGAGGACGGGCCCTCTCAGATGGGTCTGGAGGACCTGGCCATGTTTAGGGCCATTCCCACGGCAACCATCTTTTACCCAAGTGATGGTGTCTCCACTGAGAAAGCTGTGGAGCTCGCCGCCAACACAAAGGTACCCATAATCACCATTATAAGAAGTGAAAAAGATTTAAAAATGGACATCCTGAAAAGAAAATGTCTAGGTTTAGAGCAGAATGAAAGCTTCATCATATCGAGATTCATGGGATCCAATCTTCTACAGATTTTGTGTTGAATAACACAGACCCATGTAGATGATTTGTGGTTCGTTTCAGGGTTTGTGTTTCATCCGAACGAGCCGCCCAGAGAACTCCATCATCTACAACTGCAATGAGGACTTCCATGTTGGTCAGGCTAAGGTTTGTAGCAGCGTTTTATATATTCGTCAAACCCTTTCATGCTCTTTGAACTTTTTTTATACCTCATTATCACAAACGACTTATCGGACTAGAGTGTGTGCATGTTTCCATTTGGAGTGCACAAACAAATATGTCTTCACTTCCCACTCAGGTTGTGTATAAAACCAATGACGACCATGTTACTGTGATCGGAGCAGGAGTGACCCTCCACGAGGCTCTGGCGGCTGCTGAACAGCTGAAGAAAGGTATAAAGAAAGACCTAACCAAAGAAACCAACCCATGTCAGCATAACAGTATACGATCTTTATATGAATCATCAGTTGAACTGATGTGCATCCTCCACCTTCCTGTCTCCTCCCTCAGAAAGAATTAATATCCGTGTGATTGACCCGTTCACCATCAAACCCCTGGACTCCAAGACCATCATCGACAACGCCAAGGCCACCAGAGGACGCATCATCACAGTGGAAGACCACTACTATGAAGGTGGGGGGGTTGTGAATGACCGTCCAAAAACAAAACAAATGTAGAGAAATGGCTGAATGATTTTCTTTAGATATTCTTAACGTGATCAAACAAGGTGCATTTCAGCCTACAACATCCAGGGTTCAACTCTGACCTGTAGCCTTCGTCACATGTCCATACCCTCGGTCTCCGATCCATCCAGCCTCTTTCCACCAGTAGATCAAATTAAACATTTAAAAATGATAACTTCAAATTAATTTTAAACCTGATTTGAGAACTACTGGGAAGCCATATTGGTGAGAATTACATTTTTTTGTCCTGCGGTATATTCCTGAAATTATGATTTTATATCTGTTTGATTAATATTGTACCATTGATGGATAAACTATCATAGTAATCTCAATTCCCCAAAAGTTAAATTCTGGTCACAGGACGTTGCAACATAATGTCACATAAACTGACGTTGTGTAATACATTATACGTTGTGACAGGTCTCAATAGATTAGCAATGCAAAGTGCCACTCAACTGCATTCATCTACTGAATCATGTCTAATTTAAAATCAGAACAGTCACATCGTTGTGGATCCCATGGTATGAACAGGAGAGCTTTAACTAGCAGGCATGAGGATTGTTATGCAGCTGCTTGCATGTTTGTGCTCATGAATAAAAATGCCTGGAGCAGCAAAGGACAAAGGACAATCTGCAGATGGATAGGGAAAGTGTGAGGAAGCTGGAGTCTGAGCAAGGGAAGAGAGAGAAGAGCAGCATGAGGAGGGGAGGAAGAGGATGGGGGTATAGGGATTCTGAAGGTGACGGAGAATTTGGGTAAAGGTTGTGGGTTTCATGAGAGAGATGGAAGATACAGAAACGGTGAAATGGATATAAACAGTGGGGGTGGGGGCGAAGGAGGAGGAGCTGGGAGAGCTTGTCAGGGTTTCTTAATTTCAGCTCTGACCTTCGGGCTCACGCTGACCTACATACAGCACCAGCATGACAAAGAGTGTCCAGAATTAGCTTTCTCTCTCTCTCTCTCTGTTTTGTTTTTCTGTTGTCCTACATGTAGCTGCTTTCTCTGCTGGTCGACAATACGTATGTTTTCCATGATAAAGCCTAAAAAAAAAGGAAGATGACACTGTTGTTTGGTCACACACACACACACACACACACACACACACCTTTATTCACATTCATTAGTTCATTACATGCAAGTGAAAATGTCACAGGTGTGCAGTAATTTTAATATGTCCATATTTAACATGTGCGTGTTATACAGACAGGCAGTAGAAACCAAGCAGTATCCAGGGAACAGGGGGATGTGGTGAACAGATGGGTAAATGGCATTTGTCAGTTTTTTCTGTCTGGCTCACACACTGGTTGCCAGCAATTATATCAACCAACGGATGGGAAACATCTAGTACTAAAGGCCATGTAAGAACATGTAATAATGACTCTCTTTTTGTCATTTCTCAGCTTTCATGTTCACTCAGTCAGAAATGTTTGAATGACAGTTTGGAGTGAGAAGTAAAAAAGAAATGTGTGAGAGAGAGAGAGAAGGGGAAGATAGAAGGAGAGGGATAGTCTTAAGGGGGTATAAGTGAGGAGTGAGAAAGTGGAGGGAGGGTGTTGGCCATCCTGTCAGTCCACATCACATCGCTGCAGAGCTCAATCACCTGTGAAGGTGCGAGAGATTTTAATATGACAGAGGAACAAATAAAAGACTTGAAGTGAGAAACTGTCTGTGATTTGAGTGAATTGACCCTTTACTCGATAGTCCTGACTGCTGTATATTCTGATTCCTCAGGTGGTCTAGGCGAGGCGGTGTGCTCTGCGGTAGTGAACGAGACTGGCTTCACTGTTCACCGCCTGGCAGTTTCCCAGGTGCCCCGCAGCGGCAAGCCCCAAGAGCTACTCCGAATCTTCGGCATCGACCGCGATGCCATCACTCAAGCGGTCCGTAAAGTGCTCACCAGCTCCGCCAATGCCAAGTAAGAACGTTGCAGCAGCAGCGGCAACAAATATGGCAAATATGGACTCTGTGGTTAACTGGTGATCACCATGGAGACAACAAACAAGTAACCCAACACAAAAGGAGGGAAAGCACTTCTGGCCCACTCACGCTCTCCTCCTCGTAAAACTATCTAAAGCATTCGTTTGAGAAATAAAAAAAAAAACATAACCCAGCTTTTCTCTTAAACTGTCATTGATGTGGTTTTGCCCCATTAGTTTGTGTAAACGCACCCTTCCCTTCACAAGCTCACATCCACACCGCCACCCTCTAACCTCGTCCTACCTCCCAAAGAAAGCTCTGGTGCTGCTGTAGTGTTTCAGTAAAAAGCAGTGAACGTGGTTTGGAGTAAAAGTGAAGTCTTTTTTATATTTTCTGTGGATCCCCTCTCACTTCATCGGCCCAGCATTTCGTACGTCTGCACCCGGTTCGACTCTTTAAATCCCACCCCACTAGATCCAGCAGGGTGTGGAGAAACTCTGGTATGGTCTGTTTGAGCACTGACTGTAACCTTGTTGACCCCGACTTGGATGCGACTGCTTCACACCAATAAAGGGAAGGTTTCTTCACAATGTCTGTGTCCGAGGTCTTTCTTGTAGGTTGCGGTTGCATGATACACAGGTCAATTTTTACAGTGAAACAAAAATGTACAAAACCTGCTTTCTTTACTTTAGACAATACTATACTACCTCTTTTTTACATTTGTATGACTTACAAAACTATGGGATTTTTTATATTTTATGGTATGTTTATGACTATACAGTGACATTCTATACTATGCATCTTTTGGCATTTTATAGAAATGATATACAATAATCTTTTTATGATGTTATTTATGACTTTTTATCATATTTGATTAATGTCTTGCAGCTGCTGCAGACGGAGTTTGACCCGTCTGTTGTTTGCTGTTCAGCTTTTCTTCGCCGGCAGGTCAGAATGACTCATGATCTGCTGTAGCTGCAACTTTTAAATAAGCTGTCTGACTGACCTGTTTATATATATTACCCTTTTTTTTTACTATACTGGATTAAAATGTATACAGGACAACACAAATATGTAGTAAAACTTGATGTGTCAATCACTCTGAACCCCAGAACAACTGTATTATTATAAATACTATATTTCAAAATATCACTCCTATAAGCAAAGCTCTTGTCACAGGGTTTATTTGCAGGGAAAACACAAGGGGAAAACAGTCAGGGAACAGCGGGGAAATCCAAGGAGGGCGAGGGTGGAATCCAGGCAGGATGAGGCAGAGCAGGCAGACTGGGGAACCAGGAGGATGAACCAAACTGCAGGAACAGGAAGACAGGGTCAATGCAATGAAAAGACACTTGGGGAAAAAAAACTCTGAAATACTTTCAAACGGAGCGACCGAGAACGAACGAACTATCACGTTAAGTTGTAACAAAAACCAAGAAGAGTGGATGAAGAACCGGGGTAGGAAGCCGGGAGGAGATCGGGTCGGAGCACACACACACAGGACAAGCACGGGGCACGGACTGGACATGACAGCTCTCTTACAAGGTTTTACTGTACTTTACTCTAAGTAAAACAATTTGATATTCAAGGAGGGATTTGGTAATCCTAAAATCATCATGGTGGCACCAAACATCCTGAGCCAAATTATGAAAAGTGGTAGCAGTCAAAGTCTATTCTAAATCCAAAGTTACAGGTCAGATATGCTACTGGTTTACACGACAGGAGTTTGGTGCCAGTATCTTACCACAGCATCCTACATCGGACACACCGGAAGCCTGAAGTGAGCTCTGAGGCAGACTGGCACACAGACTTCCTGCCCCCTGGTAGCATTGAAGACTGGTCGACCTTATTTACACAATGCTGACGGCAGCCTGTGGCTTGCCCCACACAGCGATAACCTACCATGCAGGGCTTAAGAGCGCGACTGTGTCTTCCCCACAGTTCAACGCCAACCGTCAGCATTGGCTAAGAGAAGCCAGGGCTACTACCAGGGAGCCCCTCAGGAAGCCTGACCACAGTCAAATAAAATACAAATTTACTGTAAATTATGAGCAGTGGTTTTGCCGTGGCCTACCTCAGAGCCTCAGAGCTGTCCAGCTGTCCTCTGTGGAGTGTGTGAAGATACTGAGGTTAATTTGCACAAGACCTGGCTTCATACATAAGACACGTCAACATTCTAACACATTCACGTTCCATCCAGCATTCTATTCTATTCTATTCTGTTCTATTCTCAAGGGCAGATAATGTCTCCTTTTATGAATTCACTATTTGCTAGTCCAGCATTCACCGTGTTTTCCATGGCACAGTTTTCACAAAACTCCACACACTCTACCACACACTCTACCCATTAGCAGTAATGACATAACACTGTATATTGCAAAGAAAGCCTACAAGTAGGCTAAATCCGCAAATTATCCTTTTAACATTGTTAAGCTGTCTATGTTTGCAAATTCATATTCAAATGCTAATATATTGCATCCCGTCCACTGTATAGTAACTATAGCCACATTTCACCTGCACCTTGAGTTTGGGAATTAGTCAGTTGATGAATTTAAGACCTTAAAACTGTTTTGAACTGAATTATTTGGTGGATAATAGTTATTAACTTCTTTGTGTCTTTTATACACATAGTATGACCTATGATCTTTTTGCAATACTGTACATTGACTTTTTCATGTCTTCTTATGACTTTTCTCGACATACTATACTATAACCTGTTCATGACTTACTGTATAACCCCGGACCGGTTTCATATAAGACAATATTTTCACGGACCGACCTTCAAGGTGTGGCGGAAAAACACGAGGAAATAAAATGATATGATCAGCATGAAAACAAATATAAAATGCATAAATAAATACAACTCACAGTAACGCTGAATCAGTGGGAACCCTGAGCTTGTTTCTCTGCAACGACACAGTCCCATCTGGGGGTAACGGGAGACAATGACACCCGAAGGCTGTTCCTGATTGTCCAGTCTACTCCTTAATTTGTTTTGATTGCCGTCACTGCAGAACATCCCGCTTCACAGAGAGGATGTTAGAAATAGAAGCAGGGTTTTCAGTGCTTTAGTGGCGATCTCAGGATATTCAGCCTTGATTTTAATGCAAAACACCAGCAGAGTTGTTGTCTCAAACATACTTTTTAGGCCACCGTCATTTACAACCTCCAGCAGCTGATCTTCCTGTGTGGCCACATATTCTACAGAGCGGGTTTGGCGCGTCAGAATTACTCCTGATGTTTAATCAGACTCCTGATATTGTAAATGATAAATGAAGCTTTCATTTTCTTGGAAGTTGTAGCTCTTCTTCTGTCTCCTTCGTGGGCCTTTTCCCCCTTTGCAAAGAAGCTCTCCAAAAGTTATTTACTCATTTTCGCTAGTTTGCCGGCTTAATTTTTGAGGTAATGTATCACGTGACCGAGACAAGCGTCTTGACATTGACATTATTGACATAATGATAACACCTGTCCAGACAGGATTATCAAACAGTCAATTTGCCTGATTGCTCTAGATCTTCCACCATTTTTAGACCTGGAAAACTCCTAAATAAAATAATTGCTTTAAATAATTATAGTTTTGAATGAACTGCTTTAAACTAAGAATTATTTGTCTTTTGAATATAATGCAGGTTTCCCTTTCAGGAGCAGCAATCCTGAAGACTTGTCTAACCATCTCTGTCCAATCTATAGGGACAGTCAGTCAGCAGAAAATAAGTTGGTCCTTTAGGCTGTAATGTCCTCTTATCTATCTAAGCATGCACAGTTCTGTATAAAGATCTCAGCCACACCTTATTGCTGCCCATGTCTTGGTTAAGTTTAGGTCAAAGTGCCGTTGTGACTGGTTGAAGTCTGTTAAGCCCACATCCACCATGTGGTGTGCATATTAAATGTGTCTTTAATAATTAAAAAGCCTATTGAAAGATTCACGCATACTGCAGCATGTCAGATCCACAAAGAAATGGAAGTAAAGAGGTCTGCTGATGTATACATTTTTATGAAATATAGAAAGAAAATCCACTGGCTCTGCACACAAGAGTTCATCAAAGGTAAGAAATTGTTTTAGGGTGTTTCGAAATGCATGTAAATCAAAGCTGCTGCAGCAATGTACTGTATATAACTACAATAAGACCCCCTTCAGTCTTGTAACTAACAGTGTTGTCTTACTCAACTCCAAAGTCTTCGGTACAGGGTGCTGACTGAACTTCAGCTTGTAAAAAGGACTACAGGAGATTGAACGTGATATCTGGGACCTTTGACCTCGTTCATATAGCGTAGCTGGAGTCCATCTGGTCTTTGAGGTGAACAGTGTGTGTCAGCTGTGAGTGTGTGTAATGGAGAAAAGTGAAATGGACTGACAGATTGTGAGTGCATGTACTGCATGTGTGTTTACTGTTCAGACACTTTAGATGCTGGGAGTGCAGACGGGCTGGGCGTCTCTGTCCTGATGGCCGTCGAAGCATCTGTCAATCTGTCGTATGGATTGTTCTCCACTAATGCACAAACCAACACACACACACACACACACACACACTCGATAGTACATATGAACACATGGAGCAGCTCACACACCTCCTGTCAAACATAATTTCTGCTATTTCAGCACCTTCCAAGAGCACATACGGTACATGCAAACAAAAATAAAAGCTATATATTAAAACATGCTTTCAGCACGTGAATTAATGACTTACATGACACACTAATTATATACTCACCCATTGAAACCACAATAACATCGACACAATCCCTCACCATTTCTGATGCAGCACGTGCTTCTATCCTAAAAGAAAATGTATACGATATGAGCCGAACATTTCTGAATTATCTGTGTGCATGGGATGTGTGTGTGTGTGTGTGTGTGTGTGAGAGTGTCGCTTTCTTGTCATCTGTATGTTCCGTCAGTGCTGCCGGGTTCCCCACTTTATTCCGCTTCACTGAGCCCCCGCCCTCCCGGATGCACACACACTAACGGTCTACCACATGGCCAGTTTCTCAGACACAAAGGAATAATATTGTACAGCACATTGTCTCATTATATATCTTCAAGGGTCAATACCACACCAATACTGCGAGAATACAGAAGTGAATATCATTTCTGAAGCTCAAAGCATTGGAAAAGTAAAAACTCAGCAGCAACATCTCTTTCCTGGAACAAGGTCAGATGTAGTCAGGATAATTCAAAGACCTCAGTGACAACAGTTTTCTTCGGTAGCTGTGTTTGGCTAGAGTTTAGTGAGAAAATATTTTTTCTGATTTCAGTTAAATTATCTTAAAATAAATAAAAGTTAGATAAACAGCAAATGTGATGAGAAACGTTTTATTTACCTATGCAACACACTCCAAGGTGATTTGGATTCAACTCATACATTTAATTCAACTCAAAACAGAAAAGAAAACTCCCAATGCCATATCTTTTTATTTACACAATATTGATTTCAATCACAGCGTGAACGATTAAAATAATTTAAAAAAAAACTTACTAGACACTTAAATGTAAACAGTAATCACTGTGTGTTTGTGCATATCAGTGCAACTATATTCAAGCCTGAATGAGAAGCTTCTCTCCCACATTAAAAAGCACTTAAACACATTGAACACTTTTCTCTTACAGCACATGCTTACACTGTTTAATGGCATCAATTATTCAGTGGGTAAAATACACTTTGTATGAGGCACATATCTTCAGAGGTTGTATAAAAGTAAAAGGAACGGGCAAGTTAAAACTTATAGTTCCCCACTTCCTGAATGCGCTTTCTAATGTAATGTAAATAATGTGGAACAAAACAGCAGCTTCGGTCTTTGTGCTCAGAAACTGATATGAATCAACATCAATAGAAGTGGCCAAATGGAGAATTGAACAGATTTTCATCAGTATATGTATTTTATGCTTTTTCTACTTATAGGGCTGTTCTGTGTGAGATGCCCCCCCCCCTCTCCCTAACCCTTTAGCTCCTGTACTCATCCCCACAGTCCCCGATAAGTGCCACGAGGTCCCTGGAGCGTCGCGTCACTGCAGTGATGGCGACATGATCTTCCACTGTCAACTTCAAGTCAGGGCTGCAGCTACGCAGACTGTCACCGATGTGTTGCCCCGCCCCTGCGACGCCTAGCCGACAGCCGACAATGACCCCCCCCACTGCAGGGCGGTCCAGCACGTAACGCGTCGCCACGCTGGCCACTGAGCAGTCGTGTCTCTTAGCAGCTGTCTCCAAGGCGACAAGGAGGTCCTGGAAGAGGCTCCAGCCACCCCAAGAGTTGATCATGTTCTTGTACTTAGAGAGGGAGGCGGTGTAGAGCTCCGCCCTGGAAGTAGGCTCCGCCTTCCCCAGATAACGCTCTGAGAGTAGACCGCCAGCTAAGAGAGGACAGTGATGGAGGAAGAGGAGTGGAGTGAGGGATGGAGGAGAGAGAGGCAGACGGAGGAGTTAAAAAGGAGTCAGGGGGGATGAATACAGGATGGAGGGAAAGGAGAGGTGGGAGGAGGAGGCGGCAGGAATAAAGGGATGGAGGAAACGAAAAGATGAGACGGAGAAGGGTGGAGAAGAGGAAGCGAGAGAATGTGGAGAGAAAAGAGAAGACGGGAGGGCAATGCGGAGACCATTGAGGTCAGGAGGAGGATGGGATGCAGAGACGGAGGGAGAGGAAGGAGTAGCGATGATAGAGGGGGAGGGAAGAGGACAGAGGATGTGTCGTCACATCGACTGACTCCATTTTAGAAACCCACCATTTTACATCACAATGGTAAATGTACTTCTTACCTCATTTAACATCAAGGAAACCTTCATCTTTGTAATTGCTCTACTGGAGTGATATTCATGTATCCAAGTAAATGAAAATGATGAAAACATGAATATATGATGACTGGATTTAAAGTTTAATGTGTTGTATCTCACCCAGAGTGCCGTACGTGAGGAGCTGAATGTTGTTAGCCAGACAGAACTTCTCCATCTTGGCTACAGGTCGCTGGTCAATCAAAGAGTACTGAACCTGCATAACAAACACATTGCAAACATGATTAATAGATGCACTGAAGGAGAGGGTCTCGTGGAGTATTGTACTAGCATGCAGGTGCGTGGTGCCAGGTACCTGGTTGCTTGAGATGCGGATACCTCTGCTGGTGATCTCCTCCAGCCTCTGAGTGTCAAAGTTAGTGAGGCCGAGTTCTCCTGAGGGAAACAAAAAGGAAGAAACAGGTTGAGGTCTCTTAAAAATAAAAATAACATGAAGGAACAAGAAACAGATTCACATTCCTGTTTTTGACACACTACTGTTCTGCCTCCAGAGAATATGTGTCAATCCTTATAGGTGTGTGAGATCAGCATGAGAGTCTGACTTTCTTTTCATTTTCAGTCTGCTGAAAAGTCTGTTCATATTGTGATTCAAGTTAAAATGATCCAACAATGAAATACTGCTCCAAATTAGTTTTTAACATAATCAAATAATATGTTTGGTTTGATCCTTTTGTTATGATTTGATCATAGATGAACAATAACCTTCTATGTATATATGTATATAAAGTAAACATAATTAGAAAATAAAATGATTGTAAAGAAATAAAAAGCACAAAATATATCAAACTCGCTAATGCAAATAAGATAAATTATTCATTTTAAGTTGGACTTGAAGGTTCATTTTCAACCTTAAAAATAGCAACTTGATGAAAGTTCTTAACACAAGGTCCACCAGGTTTTTTTCTGAAGCTTTCAGCGCCACCTCATGGCCTTCCTCATCAGATGGGAGTTGCTGTAGTTGAAAAATGTGGACACCCCAAGTAAGAGGACCTTGTGTTAAGATTAATAACGACTCAAACAGCTAAGGAAGCCCTTGAGATGCAGTTGAAAGCTCTGACAAATAAGCTTTACTCAAGGTCCACTTACTAGCCTTTTCCAGAGAACCATTTCCAGGTCAAGATTGAACAAATATAAAGAAAATGCAGCCTATAAAACAATAATATATTACAATTACTGTTAAACCTGTGATATCAGCCTGCTAATATATCAGTCAGATTCTAGTGTTTTTGTTTATTCTGTTTATCTGTAGACGTTTGCAATATGTATTGTGTTCGTACGTATGAGTCCCTCCTGCTGCATGTCGGAGAGGTGTCCCAGTGCGTCCAGGTATCTTTTGTCTTTATAGTCCCACCAGTGGAACTGAACACAGTCCAGACTGTCAACCTGCATACGGCTCATGGAGCGTTGCAGGGCCTTCTCCACCACCTGCACGCACGCACACACACACACACACACACACACACACACACACACACACACACACCTCAGCCCCTATTTCTACTTTCAACAGTAAAATAATAAAGACACATACACCGTCACAAATGTATCAGCTATAAGTGAATATTAACCGATACATTACCAAGCTCTAATACCGGTGAATCTCACAACCTAAATCATTTAACATAAAAATAAACATGAGTTGCTTATGTTTGTTTACTGTTGATTTACTAGCATATTGTAGGTACAAATAACATTAAACCATAAATAAAAATCGGATTACTTTTCAAGTTATTTGTTTTTAAAATCATAAAACGAAGGCTACAGAGGGAATCCTTTAAAAAGGACTCAACACCAACACATTTCCTGGGAATTTTCTATGCAGCCTTAAGTAGGCCAGTAAGGTGATGTCCTGCTTCTTTATAACAGACACACAGTGCTCTCTAGTGGATAGAGCTACTCTCTCTGTAAAACACGGCAGACTGAGTGCAGGTGTCACTCTTGTCTCAACACATTTGTCAAACGGCTCACCTTGCGGTTCATTGGTTCTGGTCTCGGCACGTATTTGGTCAGACTCTGCAGAGCTGGGATGTCGTTCCCAGATGATTTGCACTAAGAAAAGATCAAACAAAGAGTCGTAACAATTAGAATTACAAACTACAAATATTTGAATTGAGCTATGTCTTCTTTCTGTATCTTGCACTTATATATTATAATCTTACCATGCTAAATATCTTGCAAATTATGAAATACTGCACAGTAGCTTCTATTTAAACCATATTGCACTGCTAAACACATTTATCATTTAAAAAGATAGAAGTGTCTGTTGACTAGTTAAATCAAAAAGTGTCAAAAAGCCTGGAAAGCACATGTAATGAGGTCAAATGTGTGAGAGAGAAAAAGCTGGTTGGAGGAGAAAAAAGCTCTCTGCACATTATTCCAGGTGAACGGCTGAGACCACAGCCAGCACCATTAAACTGTCACAGCACATCAGCCACAAGAACTCTGATCTGAGCCACACCGGGACCTGTCTGTGTGTGTGTGTGTGTGTGTGTGTGTGTGTGTGTGTGTGTGTGTGTGTGTGTGTGTGTGTGTGTGTGTGCGCGCGAGAGAGCATTTCTTAATGTGTGTGTATTGAGGATCTGCAGCTCTGTGGAGAACACCGACACTAACAGTTGGATTGACGAATCAATAAACTGGCACGACTGAGCTCACAGGGATTATACAGTATGAATGACAACTGTGTCCATCACACTTAGCTCAATACAACTATGTTCAATAATACAGTTTCATCTGAATGCTGTCAGTTTACTTTGCCGCTGTAGCTCAATGACGGAAAATGTAAAAGCATTAACCATTTATAACTAGCTTAGCTTTATTCCCAAACATATTCCTGGGAATGCAGTCACAGGTTTTTATAAGCAAAATACATTGTTTCTTTTTCCTCGAGCAGACTGTTTTCTTTTTGAGAATCTGTGTCTTTGGAACTGTTGATGTTTCTTGCTTCCTTTCTGTCTCTTTCTTGTCAATGACACACACACACACACACACACACACACACACACACACCTCTGAGGAGCAAACTTCAATCTGCAGCAGAACAACAGCTCCCTCTTGTGTTTTAAAGGTTATTATTAATCTATGATGAATTCGTAACAAAATTTAAAGGATCACGCCCAAACTTTTATTTGATTATGTTAAAACCAAATTTGGACCAGTATTTTGTTATTGGACCATTTTAATTTGAATAACAATATGAGAACAGGCAAAATAAAAAAAGAAGTCAGCCAAGATGGAGCTTCACCGCGTCTCACTGTGTGTGTGTGTGTGTGTGTGTGTGTGTGTGTGTGAACACTGATGTCTCTACAGACAATTACAGTTATCAATTAAACTTCATAAACTACCGTCTCCAGAACTATCTCCAGCATCATGTCATGCAAACGGGTCAAAGATGAGCAGGCCAGTTGAACCTTAACATACATGTGAGTTTATCTATTAGGTTTTAGAAGGAATGCTTTTTCAACCCATAGAAGAGGACTTTAAAACATCAAATATGGTCAAATCTTTACAGGGACATGTGTTGCATGGCATGACATCCACATCAATGGCTTGACAGTTTGTATCAGTTATTATTCATTAAAAGGGAGAAAATATGGTGTTCAATAGCTCCCACCGTACAATGAGATATATTTTTAAATATTGATAAAGAAACTGAATAACATGATTCAAAGTACATCTGATTATTATTGCATTATTCTGCTCATCTTTGCCACATTATAGCCCCATATATTAATGTCATGTATTGAATAGGAGGGTGTGTGTGTGCGTACCTGGCTGTTGAACCGTCCAAATATTTCCTCTGCAGGCCCATAAATGTCCGCCATGTCAAATGTGGTCAGACCAGCGTCTACGTAGGCCTGCATCGCCTCCACTGGAGAGATGAGAGGGACACATTTTTAGATTAAATGTATCATTAATATGTGTGTTATTATATTCACAATCATAATTAGGCTATGGAATAGTTAGAAAGAGACTAGTTGAGAAATCCTAATTTTGCACAATTAACATGTGTAACTTACTTAAAGTGTCTGTTTGAACACAAGGAACTGTTGCAGAAACATGGCACTAGTGTAACAAGCCTTTCCACAGCCAGACTGGAGTGCTGTCTATTAGATTAAATGTATGACCTTCCTGGGATTTTGCATTTGCTTTTCTAAGCCAACACACCCATGTTTGACAAAGTTATAATATCGAATTTTTTTAAAGCCTCCATGATGTCTTTATCAAATCATACATTGAATCTACTACAGGACACGTCTTCTGCTAGTGATCGTTTCCACAGATTTCCCAAAACACCCAGATGTTTTCATTTTCTCCACAGACATGATCGTTCACCTGCTTTAGCATCGTCCACCGCTCCGTGCGCTCCGGACACCTGCCACATTCCGTTCAGCACGCGGCAGATCTCCAGACCTCCGGACAGTCTCACTCTGGGAACCGGGGGCATCCTGCTGTCAGTGCCGGGGAAGAAGCTGCTGGAAGAGGCCTGCGGTTTGAAATCACACACGATTTATGCCTTTCTTCCACAAAGGCAAAAACATATTTGCGCGTTAGATCGTTGCGGGTCGACTTCATGCATTAACCGCTCTAAAACTGCAGGATATTAACATCAGATCAGATACATCAATACAAGTTACTGACTTTATGTCAAGACGAACCACCGCCAGGAGAGAAATAAACTACAAGTCACAACAACGTCCTGCAGTTACAAAACGTGTTTTGCGTAAATGAGTTACAAAAGCCACGAGCGTTTCCACCAATCACTGACTCTGTTTAGCCGGAAATAAACTTCTTCTTCTTCGGCAGGTTTGCTGCTGCTTTCCTGCCCTCTACTGGAAATAAACGGTCACTTCTGTGGAGAAACACCTGAAGCTGTTTCTGAAAGAAGACCTCTCTGCAGGGCAGCAATAATGAAACAAGGAGACGGGATACAGTAAAAAATAATCTTTACTTTTCCTTTACATCACATTAATAAAGCCCCGTACACAAAGCATGCCTTCCAGACAACATGCTGTAGCAGTCCCATGTTACATTTCTCATCACTCCACTGTTGCTGCCTTCTTCTTCTTCGTCCTCTTCCTCCTCTTCTTCTTGCCAGGTGTAGCGTCAGCCTGTTCTGCTGCTGCTGCTGTCGGGGTGTCCTCCGTCTCTGAAGCTTCAGACTCTTCTTCTGAGGCGGCTGGTCTCTTCTCGCAGGTGGACAGGCTGAGTGGTGCCGCAGCCTCCGGCTTGCTGTGACAGAGCAGACGGCTAAAGTCAATTTCAGAACGAAATAGTTGCTCATCTGTACCAACAGCTGCTCTAAAACGTGTCAAATTCCATGTAGTTTGTGCTCATAAAGTCAACTGAAAGTGAAAAGCATGAGTCTACAGAGTCTGATTTGATATAATTGTAGATTTCACAAAAATTACACCACAGACCTGCAAGATTCTAGTTCAAGCTCAATATTTTAACAAAATCAAAGTTGAATGTGACTGAATGCACAAAATACGTAGTCTAGATTGTTTCCATTTTACAATTTACAGGCAATAAAACAGCATTATAATTGACAGATGTGACATTTTCCCTTGGAATTACAAATTCTGAGCAACTATGGCTTAATCACTGTATTACAATAGGATTTTACACTTCATTACTTTACATGGCAGCCGGGTAGTTACCTTATCTGAACCGCTGGCTCTGGCCTCTTATTCCCAGCCTCACTGTGCTTCTCCAGCAGAGCCACAAAGAAGCCGTGTGTGCGAGTCTTGGTGGTGCTGGCGCGAAGACACTGAGTGAGTGGCTCCAGGCCACGCTCTGGCCACTGAGCCAGCAGTGGAACCAACCTGGAGGAGAAAATATGAAATGTATTCAGGGAACAGTAAAATCCAGAACAGAATTTAAAATCTTTCTTCTCACCTACAAAGCCCTAAATGTTCAGGGACCATCATATCTAGCTCATAGCACCCTATTGCCCCACTAGAGCACTGTGCCCCCAGAATGCAGGGTCACTTGTGGTATTTGGCTTCTTCTTCTTCTTCTCGGTTTGTTTTGAGTGAGTGAAAGTGGACTGCTCCTACCTGAAGCCCGGGTTCTGCTGCAGACAGGCCGTGACGACGTCCTCGTTCTCCTGGCTGTGGATGGAGCAGGTGGAGTAGACCAGGCGCTTCAGACGAGGGAACTTGAGGCCGTGGTTCAGGCACCGCAGCTGGAAGGAGGCCAAGGAGGCCAGACGAGCCTGAACCTCGTCAGCAGAAGACGCATCGTCCCGGAGACACACCATACCTGGACCCCACACACAGATCATACATCATGAATTACATTTAAATCTAATTTGTTTGTGTACAGGTACACTAGTATTGCATGTAAACTACATACTGGTTAAAGAAACGCATGCAAATCCTAAATTATATACGAGTTGGACAAAATTAGATCACTACAAACAACCAATATGATGATGCTTAGTATTATTATTATTATTATATTATTTTACGTAGAAGTGAGAGCCTGACAAAAAGGATGACTTGTCCTCGCTCTTCTGTGAAATGTCCCCTGTGACTTATAAATTGTCATATCGGACATTATTCAATTCTTAATACTGATGCAACAATGTGCATGCAGGATGTTACTGTTGCAGCTGCTCGCGGTAGAGCCCATTCATCTACTTCATATGGTCAGTTACTGTTATCCAGTAGTTCCCCACCTTCAGGTCAGTTCCCTCTAAAATGTCCCAAGATACATTTGACAAGTCATGAGATGATTAATGGGAGAGGAAAGACAATAAAACAGTTTTCATTTTTTTTTTTTTTTTTTTTTCAAAAGTGACAAAAGGCCTGGAAAGAATGTGTAATGAGGGTCAAATGTGTGAGAGAAATTTTACTTTAGTAATATTCTTGTGTATATCTACTTGGTTACTTTCCACCACTGGCAATAACATGTAATTTGGTTGGTGGTGCTGCTTTGCTGCCCGATTGCTCGAGGGATATTGCGATTGCATATAATTGTACGATGTATGAATCATGCGACTGTAAAACCATAGCCACATGATTCATAGGCTCGCTGGGACCTCAAAGCCTCTGGGGTAAACCTGTAAAGACAGCAGACGGGTGATCAGAAACCTGGATCACACACACACAGAAATAACCCTTTGTTACTCTACCTGATCCGCTGCAGGATGGATCCAGCAGGACGTACTCAACGTCTTTAAACTGCGGGCTGTCAGGGTCCACCTTCAGGAAGTCCTGGTTGGCCAGCTGCTGGCAGGTGACCCCAGCTCGGAGCAGGAGAGTCGCCATGGTGGCCAGACGCTTGGCATCCAAATCAAAGGCAAACAGCCTGCCCTTGTTCTTCATGATGGCAGCCAGGTGGCTGGTTTTGTTGCCAGGGGCAGCGCAGGCATCGATGAGATGGCTGCCAGGTGGGGGGTTGAGGAGGAAAGCGGGGAGGCAGCTGGCTTTGTCCTGCAGGATGATGTGGCCAGCCTTGTACAGGAAGTGGTCATGGAAGTCAGTTTTAGGAGAGAAGGCCAGCACCTCCGGCAGATGCAGGTCCAGCATAAAGTCTTTCCTCTTCATGGTTAAGTCCTCCAGACTGGAGGCCTGTCCCATGTAGGAGAAGCCATCCCTCTTCAGGTAGTCCACAGCGTCCTCCACGGTGGTCTTCAGGGTGTTCACGCGCGCATACCTGGGCAGCTGGATCCCGACAACCCTCTGGACGCTGACCGGGAGCAGGTCCCCATTCTTGCTGACGTTCTGCTTCACCTTCATGCGGGCCAGCGCCGCCTGCAGTCGGGAGCGATGCTTCATCATCATGGTCTTCCAGGAGCCGCCGCACTTCAGCCCCCGGCCGATCAACAGGTCGTACACCAGCACTTTGGCCAGGTGTATCTTCAGCTTGGTCTGTTTGAGCAGCTTGGTGGACTCGATGATCTCCTCCAGGATGGAGGAAAACTTCTCGGTCTCACAAACCAGAGCGAACAGCTGCTTGATGTTTGCAAATTTGCTGTCGTAAACCAGAGTTTTCAAAGCGCCCTGCTTCATCTCGGCTTTCTCCAGGACCTCAGCAGCTTTGATGTACAGAGCCATGGCGAAAACGTACGAGCTTACCAGCTAGCTGCCGAGAGAAACGACTCCACTATTTCGCTAGTTTATGGGCTACTTGGTGGTGTTTCCCTCTTGACAACAGTCCGGACACGTCCCTCGTCCCGCCGGGGCTTTCCTCTTCTCTGAGCGGCAACAAGCAGCTTTGTTTCCCTCATTCACGTTTCAGAAAAGCAGCTTCGTTATTTCGTTCCCACCATGCACATGGCGGAGGAAGACGCGTGACTCCGGAAGTACTAGCAGACGCACTGTTTTCGTCTGACGTAGCAGGTCTGTCCAGCCAATCACGGAGCAACTGGCTGAACATAGAACACTTATGTATTTTAACTATGATTACTCATTAAACGCATCTTATTTGTTTTTATATAAACGTTTAAATTACATTCTAAACATTGGTATTCAAATAGCTTTCTTTGACTTTATTGATCGGTAGATTTTATTCTTAATCCTTTCAGTCTGGAGTGCTCAGGTTAAATTACTCTGCACACTAACTGCTCCCAGCTGATTGTAGTATTAGTTATATTATAACCCAGATAGTGCTCTTAGAAAACACAGAAATGGACGTGAAAATCGTGGCGTACAGGAAATAGCTTTATTCTTTAATACAAATTCATTCCCTGGATATTCCCATGTGGAGAGGTCAAAGGGCTCAAGTTCACACTACTGTTTCCCACAATAACGAACAATCATCACTGCATTAAAATCAGTTAGTCATTCAATGTGAACTTTAGTTTGTGTAAAAGTCTACCTGCCAACGTAAGAAACAGACTGACCTTTCCCATCGGGACATTACAAATCATTTAGGAGCAAAAACAGCTGAACATCAAGACTCTTGAGAACACTGCTTATTGTAGCACCTTACAAAAATAAGAAAAATTGTCAAAGACTAAGAAAATAAACATGGATTTTAAAGCGGAAAGGGACAGTCTCTCATTCAATTTACACCAAGTGAGCCGATACACAGTCTATCTGCTGTACACCATACAAAACAAATAAATTAAAAAGGAAGAAAAACATAAAAATGTACAGCGCATTTTCTGGCACTCCTACATTTTTTTACGAGAAAATATCACTTAAACGTTTTGATTTAGATACTGAATAGACAATTCATGCACTTGTGCTGTGATTTAACTGCCAAAGAGTACAGCAACAAATATTCAATGTCTGCACAGACACAAGCTGTGTTAAAGCTGTGATGTGCAGCACTCATATTGCAGATTTAAGCATCTTTCAAATTATTTCAGTGGCATAAGGAGCATTGCTGTCTGCCAGAGTCTTTTGTACCACTACCAGTAGGAGTCACAAAGTCAGATAATGTTTGACCACAGATGCTTAATTTTCTCCTGTCTGTAACAAGTTAGCAGCAGCACAAGGCCTTCAGAGAATGCATGCTCTCAAGGCCTCTTAATTCACACTGGATTACATTTTTAAAGTGTTAAATTGTACTCTCATATAACACACGTTTATTCTACATTGTTTTTGGAATGCAGTTGAGCTACCTTGTGTGAAGGACAAAGAGAAGCTGCCTTTCACTCTCAGTCCACAGAGAAATGACAACCGTTTGTGCGCTGTGACTGTAGCCTGCTGGCTGCCATCGTGCTAAATCTTGCTATTTCAACTAAAGAGATATTTCTGAGTGGATTGCCCTTATTTTCAATATACTTTTAATATATTATGCTGCTGTTGACTACTACTGCAAAAATAATTCAGTTATTTAAATTCACCATTCAAAGGAATTTAATTTAGAGGGATGGTGACAGTTGGGTGTGGAAGCATAGCATGTTGTATGGAGAAGCAAATGTGTGGGCCCCAATTGTCACTTAACCAATCAGTGTTTGGCGACCCCACTGGGCTTTTTCACAGTCTTTGTCTTTAAAGAGTTTTTGTACAGAAGCAGTCTCTCTGTGGTGTGAGGAGGCAGGCGGTTCCTCTTGGCCTTTACAATACACGCTGCCATCGGACACAGCCGGTCGAAGCCCCCTGAGGTGGCCGGTGCTGCCAGCAGCTTCTTGACAACGCCCTGGAGCAGGGGGAACCGAGCTGCAGATTTCCAGTACAACACGCTGCTGTTGCTTTCCCACAGTGGTTCGGAGAGGTACATATTGAACTCTGCTGTCTTCATGGTCTTTGCCGGAGGCTGGAGGAAGTTGAAGATGGACTTGCGCTTGAGATCGTTCTCGCCGACTCCGTTGCAGTTGCCGTCATCTGAGCTGCCACCAGATGCCTCCATCGGTGCGTTGTCTCGACTCGCCTCTTTACCACCTTGCTCCTTTTTCTCCTTGCTTGTCTGGTCGTTATCTGCCTCTACAGAGGGAGCTGCTGAGGCCCCCATGCTTCCTAGTGTGGCTTCCACGATGGTGCGAGCCTGATACTTTGACGGGGGTGTTAGGAAACCTGTCTGGTCCTCCAGTTTGGCATCAGAAAACGGCTGGGAAAAAAACATTCAAGAAAGGATGAGAGTTCTGATTTTGAGTGATTCTGATTCCGCTCTGTGGATGCAAAGTGGCAAAGCATGACACAACGGCAATGTTTCAATTCAATACCTGCAGTTTGATCCTGGGGTCGAGCACAGCAGCTAATATCATGTCCTTCTGGTGAATCAGGGACTGGAAGTGTGTGTGGATGCCTGTGCGCAGGGCCTTGTTGAAGTGGGAGTAGTTGGTGACCAGGCTCTCCAATGTCTTATCAAGGCCAATCAGGGATGGCGTGATGAAAGAGATGGTCACTCCATTTCCTTGCAGGACCTGGGTTAGAAAAAGCATAGGGAAATGATCTCACACAATCTTCTATCAACAATACCCAAACACTATAATACTGCATTTCCATGCATGTACATAATATTTCTGGAGGGGTTCTTGAAGCATGGTTCAATGTACAATTGACAAATAAGCGCATTAGTGCTGCAACATTAATGATCGTAATGTTTTTGTTTTCTTTGTTTCGGAATTCAAACTGCCAATTCAGAACATTTGTCAACAGACTTCATTGTGTTTAACACCAAATAAGCCAATAATAGGTTTTGTTTGAGAATATGTAACACAATGTGGGCTGACGTGAAGCTAAAGTGCTTAATATTAAAAGATGGTCATTTCAATGTCATTACTTGGAGTGATATCAACCCTGTTTATATCTCTTCTTAAGCGGATTGGTTCATATTTTACCAGAATAAATATCCCAAAAAGTAATTAGAAAACCAAGTAAAACATGGAAATTCCAATTTAAATATTTCTAAAAGGTTAGGGTTCTAAAAAACAACTAAAATACAAGTAATACTACATTTTACAATCGTGCGTGATCTGTGTAAAACATTATATTACACTACATCCATGAAATTAACTTTCTGTTTTACCTGCAAGGCCTCCTCAAAGGGCTCAAGGAGACCCAGGATGTCAATCACTTGCTCCCTCTTGGCCATGACCAGAGGCGGGGCGCTGGCTGTGTCGTTAGCCTCTATGCGGGCCTGGGCCAGGAGAGCCATGATGGCGGTCCAGGCCGACTCCTGCACCATGCGGCGTAAAGACAGCATCATGGAGTTCCAGCGACAGCTACTGGAGGAAGGGCACAGGGAAACGTTGCACTCCTTCAACAGGACCTAAACAAGACAATGATACAAAACGGTCAACAACACAGGAAAGAAAATCATATGTCTATCCATAAACAAAAATAGTATTGTTAGACCTCAATTGAACAATTATGTTAATTAGCTTTTCCACCTCAAATAATCAGCTTTGGTTTCACATAACTCTACAGCTCAGAAACAAACCTTTAAGACAAAGGTTGGGGATGAAGATATCATTTATTTTTTGTCTGCACACTCTGAATTTGAAAGGTTTAATAATCAGTGCTAATGAATACATATTTAAAACAAGACACACTGGTGCTGTTTCATCTTTGCATGTAAAATCTATAAAAATCTGAAAAACAGACTTGCTGACCTGGTTTATGTACCTTTGCAAGACAAATATAACACAGTGTAACATACAATTGCAAAATCAGTTTTAGTTTCTCTTACCTCGCTCCAGTAGGCGCTGCTCCTAAAGAAAGCCACCACGTTGTGGACCTGCGAGAGCAGGTTTTCCACCACCCTGGAGTTCTTCAGTGCCTCCTTAATCACAAGCTGCAATGTGTGAGCCACACAGGTGGTTCTAGTCCCAATCTGTAGCTCTGAAAAGGGGGACTCTGTTTCAGACATCTGGTCTGACAGAAATGCCACCATCTCTTCTCCATCGGGTTCTCCCCGGTTGGATGAGCACATGATCTTGTAGTCGCAGAACAAGTTGTTCCCAGACAGGGCTTCTTTGGCTTGGTTTGCGAGCACGTAGCCGATGCTGGGAGGAAAGAGGCCGTAGCTCAATAGCACACCTTCAAGCTCCCTGGCCACAGCCGTGCTGAGGTTTTTGTGGCTGAGGTGGCGGAAGGCTACAATGGGACGGCGTATCTGCCAGGAATCACTGACGAAGTGGAGCTGCACAACGACAATGGGCTCCTCCGCTGGGTGGGATTGATTCCCTGCCCAGAGGTCAAACGTGACATGAATTGCACTCTCGCCATCTTTGGTTTTGGCAAGGCAGGCTTTAAGGTCCCGGATGAGCTGAGGCTTGATGGTTCTCTCCACTTCATCATAGAGCTGTAGGCCCATGACCCGCTGGGATAGCTTGCTGCATTCAGGACTGATGGTACTCATGAATGACCGGAAGCCTGCGCCTTCAACAAAACTGTGGGGAACAAAAAAGGAAGCTGCATTGGCATTGTGCATTTGCAAATGATGCGTGCGAGTGTGTGTGATCTAGATTGGTGGTTTGATGTGTATTTAGTATTCATACAGAATATACAACTAGCCCCCTGTTGCTGTTAAGTCTACTGACACACACGACATCATCCTGGGTATATAGACCCATGAGATCACATATTCGACTTAGGGATTAACAAACTTGGGGATGTTGCTAACTTTGGACAACAACCCAACAAGGACACTTTCAACAGGTCACCTGAGTGGCAGCATGTCTTCAGAGATCATCCTCAGTGCCGCGTTGGTAAACTTCTTCGGGTCCACCGGTGCAGCTGCTGGTGCAGCGCCTGAGCTGGAGCTGGGACTGGAACTCAAACTGTGGGGCAAGGAGGGACTCATGGACGCTAAAGTCTGTGGAAGCAGAGCGACCGTCTTCTGCTTGACTTTCTGACATGCCGCCTTCTTTTCCTTCACTGGCCTGACCTGCAGCAAAGCAGAGAGTAGGTGAGCCAAACCAAGCTTGCCAGCTGAGACTTCACAGCAGAATATGACAGGCATGAGTCCAGAACCACCCCTACAAATCCAGTCAAGTCTGGTGATTATTGTGTTAACTTACTTACTTAATAGTAACTTTTTTGAAATTTGAGTGTTTGTACTTTGGTAAAAGTTTCTGAGTCATAAAAGAAAATCATCATAGCAAGCTTACCACTTTAGGAATTACTGGTTCAGTGTCTAATACAACATCACACTTGAAGTCCACCTGTAAAACAACAGATAATGTGAATGCGCAATAGTGTAGTACAATAAATGACACCAAAGCGTTTTCTTCTGTCATAGTCTGACCTGTAGCCCATATAATGATTAGATTAGTATATTATTATTGATTTCATAATATGTAGCAAGTAGCATTTTCTTTAAAAAATGTAAAACTGTAACCAACCAACATTTTACCTGCTACATCACTAAGATGATTAATCAACTGGCATAATCTAATCCATTAACCATTTTCATTAATTTCTAATCTATTCATATTTGCTTGCTAAGAAATCATTGAGGAAAAAAAACATTTGTACAAACGGTGTGGAAGCTGAAAGTGATAAGTATTACACAGCATGTGCTAAACTAAACAGGTACTGTACCTCTCCTTCAAACTGTTGAATATCAAGGGAAATAATGTCAGCGTCGTCTTTGTACAAGTCCAACTCTGGTTTGATGGTTGAGTTCCAGTGATTTTTCACAGCAATGTCAGTCCTGCGAGAGGAATCAAAAATATACATTCAAGTCTCTGTGTCATTTCTGGTTAAACAGGCAGATACGTTGTTACATTCACCCTCTTATTTTAACAATAACTACCAAATAATGCATTTGATTGCCCGTCATCCATATTGTTAAACTCCAACAAATCAATCACAGCTAACCCACCTTCCAGGGAGCAGCATGGCAATCTCAGCCCACCGGTTTCCCAGAAGTGAGTGGGCTTTGTAGATGATGAGGTTTTCTTCGTTGGTCCAGGAGCTCTTTTTGAGCAGTGGGTCGAGGTGCCTGTGCCAGCGTTCACGACACTGTTTCCCCACCCGTCCTTTCAGGTGCCTGGCAATCAACGACCAGTGTTTGAAGCCGTACTTGTCCACCAGCTCTACTATCTGTCCAGAGTAAATGCATGTTAACACAGGAGGAGAGAGTGAGATGGGACAGTTTAACTACGAACTGGGTTCAAGCATAGTCTGTATCTGATGTTTAGTGTCATTTCTTCTACCTTATCGTCTTCCTCTTTGGACCAGAAGCCCTTGACTAAATCAGGATTCAGGTACTTTCTCCAGCGGTGCATACACTGGAATTCTGTCCGCCCCTACCAAAACAAAAGAAGAAGAGATTAGCAAGCAATCAGAGATCTGCATCATCTGTTCCTTTAAAAGTTTACATTGCTGTTTCATTCATTCTCTCTCACTCAAGTAACTTTGCTTCTGCTGAATACTTACCGGAAAAAAACTGGCTATGGTTTTCCAATCTTTTTTCCCAAAGTTGCTGATCAGGATTTTGAGATTTTCATCCTGCACACAAAAAAGGAATCAGTTCAGATTCAGCATAGTTTAGTGGAAGCTTTGTTACTTCACTGACACAAATATAATAATCTACTGGAAATCATCAGGTGTTGCTCTAAAGATAATATAATCAGATGAATACCTGAAACCTACATATTAAGGTCAAAGTATTCTTTTCACTCACCTCTTCTTGAGTCCATTTGACTGACTTGGTACCATCGTTCTTATCTGCTGCGTCCGAGTCAGTGTCAATACACATTGTACTATCATCTTCTTCATCCATGCTGCAACCAGACAGATAACCAATAATTCAAACATGTATTACTGGATTTTGTCATGAAAACAAAACCTTCAGCTGGGCCAATCAATTTATAGACTATTAAGAGTGAGAAGACACACTAGATAATGATTAGACATCTCTGCTTCCAAAGTGTAAATAAATGTGAACATATGACATGTTTGATATGGACTATATAATGGATGCTGTTCAGTTTAAATTAAATTTTTATCATTTGAACACAATTCCATCCAGCTTGCATTGGTGAAGCGTCAGAAGTTTCAGCTGCAGATGTAAAAACAGACTCATGTTTAGCTTTCCGGTTTAAATCAACAGAACTTATGTCTTCATTAAGTGTGGTACATTTAAAGTGCCCAACATTAAAATACTAGAATATATTACTATAACACCGACAGTTGCTCGCAATGCATCAAAGAGATTAGTTGAAGCCAAGACTAACAGAGTTGCCACAGACACGCAACCTTGCATGTTTAACATACAATATACAAATAGTTAATTAGCACTACACTGACATATAGTTAGCTAACTTGTAACTGTTTCCTTGAGTACAAAGCCTCTGTATTTCACTTTCCCGTCCTAAACCTAGACAAGCATGCATGTTGTGCTCCAGAGCAGCGAGCTAGCATGAGATAGCATTAGCTTATCTGACCCCAGAAAAGTTGACATAGCTTAGTAGCTAACATTAGCTTGTGCAAACCAAACAGTGACTACGACATACATATAAATCATGCAGCGAACGTGTGTGTCCAAACATCACACGGGGAAACTCTCAAGACAGAATTATTGCGATTGATGAGTCAAAAATGATTGTCAAACGAATTAACTTACATTGCAACTTGGCTCTAACTTCAAGCTAACCTCAGCTAACGTGCCTACCAAACACCATGAGCACGCTTGAAGAAACGTTGACTTTAAATTCAGAAAGTATAGCGCCTCCAGCGGCGCATGTAACGTAACGCAACCGCAACAATTGTATCGGCGAATATGAGGCGTTTGTGATCATGTCGATTTCGACTGTGATGGAGAAAGTTGGCTGACATGACAGTGTTGAGAACACAGAAATGCCTACCTAAATTTCAGATTGTGCAACTGCTTCTGGAATACCGCCGGGTCCAGCTGTTCCAGCTCACTACCATGACACAACAGAACAACGGCTTTTAAACGACATGAGGGAGAGGAAACAGTCGTCTCACACTCTCACACACACAACAACGCAATGCAACCCCTCGAATAAAATAGGCAACGTTATCATCTAGGAACCTTAATGTCTCCTTCACTTACCCGCGCGACATCCCTCCTGTATCTGCTACTCTGCTCGTGATTCAGACTGGAGCTCTGAACGGCTGCTGGAGTAGTTATGAGTTTAACAACACTGGTCAAAATCACTATTTTTACGGAGTTCAAATAACACACGCGTAATAAAATGTGTTAATTATTAAAATGCATTAACAGTTAAATAACTCGCGATGTTGTATCGATAGAAATATTACCCGGGACTGAACAGAGGATGTGTTCAAGAACACTACTACCATGGCTACCCAGTACACTACTCCCCGGAAACGATCCACGTGAGAAACGGTTTCAACCGAGGCTAACGGCTAACGGCTGCTGTTGCACAGACTTTGACTGGTTACTCTCCATTTCCCCCTCTGACGTTAACGTTAACACATTGGTAATACAAAATAAATAACCAGTGTCGATCAAACATTCCTGAACGGTATATTTTTCGATTCTTTTGTTTGAGGATAGTTGAGAATATTTCACCAAGTAATAGCCTTGCAGTTAGCCGTTCTAGTGCTACAGCTAGCACGAGAAGTCTACAACACATCAACAGCATATCTTGAAACCTATCCCATCATTTTTTATAACAATATGCATCCCATAAAAATTCTATGAATATATAAGCATTCCAAAAAGATGGATGTATAGTAACAAAGATGTCAAGTAACACGTTGGGAGACAATCCAACAAAGAAGCTATGCATTCCATCAAGTGTGGCCCGCTTTATATAAAACACCCATTCTGACCACAACGTAGCAAATTTGTAATCGCAAATTGATGTGCGAAGTGAAAAGGTATTTGTCCATTATGTAAACTAAATCTGCGCACACATATATTGTATTCGTGAACGTTTTATTGACTGTGTATTAAGGACACTTGGCATCACACTAACCTATTCACGAAATCAGTGAGCATTTCTGCTATAGGCTACGAATCAGTTTAATGTAATCCAGCATCATTGTACTTATTTCGGCTTCATCTCTGTTATTCTTAATGTTAATGTGGTGAACGTAAGTTGTACATCCTTGTTCACTTTGCTTGTTTCATATCATCCCTGCAGTCTTCAACAGTGTTGCTAATTGGTTCCTCACTGTTACTTAAACCAATATTTTTCCATCACACTTTGGCCCTTTCCACGTCCGCATATTGCCATATTTTGAATGTTTATTTCTGACAGCATTGCACCTTAATGTCACATTAAATCTGTTATCTTTATCCACAATTTGTAAAATTCTATTTACCACATAATGAAAAGGTGGTAATACATACTGCTATGTTACGCACATTTCTGAATGTGTTTATTTCGAAGCCTTCTGACTTCTGTTTTTATTTATATGTATTTAAATCCATCAGAATCAGACACTCTGATCATATGTTGTGTTTGTCATTTTGACCTCTGAGTGGCGCAGTTGTACAGTAATGTAGATAATATTCTAATAAGGTCACAATTCTCCACCTGTTTATTTCTTTCTTTCTGGGGATAATAATTGACCTATTGGTCTAAATCTAAATTCACTACGCAGATAAATATTCTACCTGTAATCTCAGCAAAGGTCATCACTCAGGTGAGGTGATTTTTGATAACATGCAACATTTACAAGCTGGTCACTGAACACTGTTTCTGTTATGCACACATGTTTAATTGCTCATCCAAAAGAACACATAACTGTTTTGACATATTTGATTTATTAACACGTTTTCTATGGACACAAACACACACACACACACACACACACACACACACACACACGCACACACACACACGCACACACCCGGCACCTTTAACTTCTCTGTTTACAGGTTCAGTCAGGGATCAACAGCTTGGCATGCAGGGTTACAGTTTTAGAAGCAGACGTTTTTCTAAGAAGGTAAATGGGAACATGATATGTTTAGGATTTGGAAGAGAAGAGCATCTTTAATATCGGGTGTACAAACAGGGCTTTAAGTACATATAAATGACATAATACAAATAAAATGCAAGGACTTCAGATGCAAGTGTATCACCCGTTACTGCCAACGTCAAGCACCATCAATCACCAACTTCATATTCAAGGCAGAGAGGCACTTCATGGTTAACATTGATATAATTACATTAATTACCACGGTACATAATCCTACTGCAAAGCTACTACTGTATGTTGCATACAGTATTTTCTATATAACATTAACTGTTTTAGCATGTCCAATAGCTATCACCATCTGCTATGTAATTATCTATTTTTTAAAAAGGTGCTACAAGGACCGTTTTCTAAAATCAGTGCATCATCTACAAATTACCTTTGACTCTTAATTGTTATAAACAAACGAGACCACTGTGGTGAGGACTTTCTTTTGGTCTTTGATGAAGAACAAAACATATTGGACGTTATTTTATCATCAGTCTGTCACATCTTTAGCTGTCTTTGCACAAGAAGATCGTACGTAGAACGTCAGATCTTTTCTGTGTAGTTTAAACATCTATAGTCATCACACTGTGACAGATGATGCATGTGTTTCATCTGCAGTCTCTCATTTGAGAGATGGGCTGTGATGGGCCGTGATTTTACACAGCAGCAACTTTATTCCTTACTCATTACATTTTCCTCGTTATTACTTTTAATATTATTATTTTCCTTCTGCTCAGAGCAAACTCCATGGCAGAGGATTACACTCACACCTCTTGCAGCTGCGCCTGGTTTTCACCAACTTCTGTGGTCACCAAAAATTGCCCAAAGTTTGATGGTCATGCCCATTTGTGGTTCACCCGGAGATTTTGCCTGCATTTGCACCCTTTATCAGGAAAATTGAGTTCTAAGTCTGGATGTACACAGGAAGACAACTTTGTGTTTTTTTCCACACGATATGACAATATCTGTTAATAAAATAATAATAATAATAATAATAAAACACACTCTTAATTCCATTGTAAAGGAATGGAATAAAGATAATTTGCACTGCATCTTAAAGATTGTCCTACTTCTTGCCAGCCCTGAATATTAGGTAACACATTCATAACGATCCTCGCTATCTCTCTAAGAATAGACCTGTGACTTCCAGGCAAAAAAAGTGTTATATATTTTAACCGTAAATGTGTCCATTGCAGGCGTGATCCCTCACTGCTACACCCTCAAGAGGATCCGTTTTGAAATCCATGCAGTAGTCAAACATTATAGATGCCACGTGGGATTTTGGCAATAGTACATGAGGAGCTCTTATTCTCACCAGACTCAAAAGAGTTGTGCTCACTCCGCTGATTCGATTACAGTGTTCAAACATTGGAACAGTTAACTCCTGCCTCACAGAAAACTGTCCTCAGTGCCGACAAAGGAGAACCCATTGAATGCGTTGTTGGAGCTGCTGCTGGCGTTGAGCTCCGGGCTCCGACTCACCGAGTTAGGAACCATTTCTCTGGTGAACTCTGGATCAATATGTTGAGTGTCAGCTGGGCCTCTCTGAAAGATGAAACAATCATTGTAACTGATAAAGCATGACTATATATATGCAAGTAATGGATGAGTTGACACACACAGAAAAAACTCACCACATTCGGGTTGTAAGGAGGAGTGATTCTCTTGTGGTAAAGGTCGTCCCAGTTGATTGGAGAGAAAAATATGTGGTTCTTTATTTCTAACTGTAAATAGAATAGAGAAATGTTATACATGTGTACTGTACATACTGGCATTTTCCATTCCTTCTGTTCAGAAATCCCAAAACACATTTATGAGGACAAACTGGCACTCCAATAGAGATTTTCAAGCCACTCTATACAGTTTCAAACAATGAGAAATAAAGTATGAAGGTGATGTCATCTTGGTAAATTTTCTCAGAGGGTTCTCAGAAAAGGTCCAAATCCCTTTAAAAGATGTCTCATACTGTAAGAGGCTAATTTCACAAAATTAGAATAAGCCGAGTCCTTGACTAAAGCAGCATTTAATGGAGTTTGATCTTCCCTTGTCTAAGACTAGGCTTATTTCTTGTCTGGGAAACCACCTGTTTTCATGTGTAGCAACAGTTGAAAGACAGACTCACAAAGTCGGCGATGGCCCCGAGGCGTCTGTGCTGGTCTTTCTGCAGAAGACCCACCAGCAGAGAGCAGACAGCTTCAGACTTCCCCGGAGGAAGTGGCAGCGGCTTGTGAAGGATCCCGTTATACATTTCATCGACGTCACGGCTGTAGAAAGGAGGCTGAAGCGGCAGGATGGGTACAAACAGTATAAACAGTATATTATATATAATATATTATAAGGGGCACAAGTCATAGCATTTCATATAGAAATACATCAATGCTAAATAGACATTCTATTTGTGTAAACAAGATTCCTCAGCCAAGATATAGTGGCTCTGCGAGACTGTACTCAGGCATAGTGGCAGTATTTTGAGCTAAATGCTAACATCAGTATGCTAACAAGCCGCTATTCAGCAGATACAGTAATATTACTATGTTCACCATCTTAATTTAGTGTGTTGGCATGCTAACGCTAATTAGCACTAAACAGAAAGTACAGCGGAGGCTGATAGGAATCTGGTGATTTTTGTTTAAACTAAAGTGTTGACCTTGTGGTGGTGCTGGAGGAAATGATAAAGGGTACATAAAGTAATTACAATTCATTGAGGGGAACATGAATGTCTGAAACTAATCTTAATGGCAATCCATCCAATAGCTGTTGAGACATTTTAGTCTCTACAACATTTTCTGCAGACAATTATGGACAGAGATGCTCTGACCTTTTCTCTTGCATCACTACCAGGCCAAATCATGTACTTGTACATAAAGAAAACATAAAAATCTGACGGACAGGTCACCATCAAATGTACTAAGCATGTGGTCACGGTCCCTAGAGGCTGAACCTGTTCTTATTTGGACACTGAGATTTACTTTAGCCCCACCCTGAAATGAAAATGTCGACCTTGCAGACAGGATATACTGTATTGTCTAGTCAAACATGAAGATGCTTCTAAAAAGGGATACCGTACCAATCAGCCACACACAAACTCACATACCAGGCTGTAGATCATCTCATAGGTCACTGCTCCCAGACACCACCAGTCCACTGTCCTGTCATATGCTTCCTTACGAAGAACCTCTGGTGCCAAATACTGCAGACAGAGAAACAGATAGAAACAGATTGGCATGGAGAAATCCTCTTTCTACAACTGGTTTTTCTAACTAGATTAAAAGGCCACAGTTCTTAGTCAGTAAACGTTGAGTTGTCAACTGCTCATTTGGAATAAAAGACCTAATCATTTATGATATACAGTTGTATTCTTTACTTACTTCTGGAGTCCCACAGAAAGTTGAGGTGGTGCCCTCAGGCTCTATACCTTCTTTGCACAGCCCAAAATCTGTCAGCACCACATGGCCCTGCACACAACAATAAATAATGCAATGCAAAAAAAGACTAAAACATATAGAGGAGTTGAAGTTTACAAAAAACAAATGTGAGGAATTGGACTCACCTGAAAGTCTAAGAGAATATTTTCTGGCTTCAAATCTCTGTAACAGATAAGAATGAGAAGATTATTACGATAGATCATTTGTGAATTTACTGTTTTGTGTCGCTGCGGTTCGGGTGTAATAGATAATGATTGGGGCCAACTCTCATAACGGTATTGTCATAAATGTTCTGACCTGTAAACGATGTTGAGAGAGTGAAGATAGCCGATGGAGCTCGCTACCTCGGCTGCGTAGAACCTTGCTCTGGGCTCGGAGAAACACCTCTCTCTTTGCAGGTGGAAGAACAGCTACAGAAAGAGAGAGAAAGGTTGATAGACAGATAGACAGAGTGTGGAGAGGATGGAGGGAGAAATCAAAATTACATTTAGTTGTTAGAGGAGGACAGAGAATTATTGAGGGATGAAGAGACGGGCAAAGTGACAGAATGAAACATGAGAAGTATGGGTAGATATTATTTTCCAAACATCCAAAACCAAAACATTTAAAAAATAATAATAATACAATTCTTTCAACCACTAGGGCGTGGTGTAACACGCTCGATCATCCGCACACGAGCACAAGAGCACAAGAGCACAAGAGCACAGCAAAGTTTCTGTGTTGGAAAACAGTTCTGCTGGCTGCACGCCAACGAGCTGTGTCTGACTTTGTTTGATATGAGTAAATAAAGGATTACTTATTTGGACATTGTTAAAGTGCAGCCTGCTGTGTCCAGATGAACAACAAGGAACCAAAATGTACAAGGATAAGATGATATGATGATAAACCAGGTCTTACTCCAGTTTATTCACAATGTGGACTTTTTGACACTAATAGCCATAAAAACATATACAACCCTGGCAGAATAAGTCAACTAAATACTATTTATAGTTTTAAAAATGTTTTCCCCTAAAACATTTTTTGAAAATAGAAGATGTTATGTGTGGCATTTTTACTTATCAAAGCAATAGTTCAATATTTTGGGAAATGCACTTGAGTGATGAGGACATTGATACCACTTTCATGTCTATAGGTGAATTATGAAGCTACAGCTAGCAGCTTGTTAGCCTAGTTTAGCATAAAGACTGGAAGCAGGGGGAAACAGCTAGCCTGGCTCTGTCCAATAGACTGTATACAGCTTTGTCTGTAAATTAGTGACAATTTGGTACAATTATCCAAATGAGTCCATACGTGAGAAAAGGAGTCGCATCTTTCTGATGATAACAGCTCTGCCATTATAATGCTTCTTAGAATAAAGATCCTGTTGCCTCCTTTCTATCAGGATGTTGATCTATGTGCAGTCAGAGCACTTTCTGTCATGATAAACCACGAAATCTGACTATAGGTAACACAAACACACACATGCACACACAAATTATAAAGTCTACAAGGTGTTAAAATGAACATGGTGACTGGTACTAACATTCAGCTAAGTTTAACATTTTCCCCAAAACAGCTAGCACACCATTTCTAACTTTATGCCATAAAAACATAATGTATTTCCTCAAATACAAAACGGTGGTTAGTTAAAAACCGGGCTTCCGATAACGGCTGGGGGCGTGATCGACACGAAAAATATAAAGCCCAAAAAAATAAGGCCAGGGAAAAAATAAGTGTAGATAAACTCTTGGTGCCTGTGTACATTTCTACCACTTTAATTGAATAAATTCAACAATATACTGGTAATCATGTTATTTTCAACACTTTGTTGTTCTGGATTAAGGTACTCATCTAAAGTATTATTGCCTACTGGCATTTCAGTCACTGCGGGTCTATGTGTGTGTGTGTAAAAATATAATATAATTTTGTTGTTAGCAGTTACAAGAAGTGTTGAGTTTGTAATAACAGCGTAATCTTTAACAGGTCAAGCGGAAACTAGGTTTTGTACTAAAATACGACCAATCCTACTTATAAAACAGAGTTGCTGTCGAGGTAAATACAGGCCCCGGTGTTTATTTGAGGAAATATGGTGATCAAGTTTCTTTCACTATTTATTTAGTTTAAGACGCATACCTCTCCACCATTCACATAGTCAAGGACAAAGTAGAGCTTCTCCGGAGTCTGGAAGGAGTAGTGGAGCCGAACCAGAAAGGGATGTTTCAGACTCTTCAGCAGTACATTTCTCTCTGCCATGATGTTCTTTTGCTAAAGAGAGAAGACATCAGAGTGAGACAGTGATGACTACATTTAATGAAAATGCCACAAATACACCAATCATACAGAAAACACATTTTCCTGAACATCACCACTGTGTACTCAAGTGTATTTGTTAATATTTGTGGGGTACAGTTAAATTTTCACAGAATGAAAAGCACAGGTGTAAATAATGAATCTAATGATTAATTCATTTTTATGTAGCTGCTTTGATTTCAGGGTCCTGGTATCATTCGCTCACTGTCACTTTAATTGAACAGAGCCATCGTTAACACCTGGGCTTTTCCTACAATGACAAGACAACACGTCTGCTGTGAAACAGGCCTATTTGTAGTACTTTAGCTGCTCAGTAGAAGTATGCAGTACATATTGTCAATTGCAGTTTAAATATTTTATTTCTATCTTAAGCTTTCATTGTAAATAAGCATATTTTAATTTTCTTCAGAATTTATTTTCTTAGAATGTACATTAAATTCATAATAATAATCTGATCACATTTGTCAAGGCATGTTGTCCACACAACAATGTGGAGTTTGCACAATTTTATTGTTCAACAAAGTTTTTTTTACTTAATTAAAAAGGTAACATATATTGAAAAAGTATCAAAGCTACTGACGAGAAAATATGAATCTGGTCATCAACAGAGTTTTAATGCGTAATAATTGTCTAAATGCTGTTTCAGATTCTCTTCCTGTCTGATGGAAACACTGACTCTTTGTTAATGACGGAAAGGGTCATCCGTTTTCTAGGACTGGACGGCAGAAAGAGACTAAAAGAGAAGAAAAAAACAGACCAATCGTTTCCTCTTGAAAAAAAAACACTGAACACTTCAACTTCAGCAGAAGTAAACGAATCAATGGAGGACAAGTGTGTTTGATCAGATATTGTCGTCGTGTTGTCGGACAAGAACAAAGAAGTGGCTCCGTTTATTTTCCGGGAGTTGTAAAATCTGCTCTTTGTACAGAACAAGCTGTAGATTAGATAAGATTGAGATCATGTTGCTGGGTTAAAACACTGTTTACTAATAACACTCTCTCTCTCTCACACACACACACACACACACACACACACAC